CAGGCAGTGTTTCACACAGAGATTGCAGTGGTTCAGCTTTCTAAGCCTAGTTGTCACATGTTACATCTCTCCTTCAGGAAAGCTGCCTGCCAGATGCAGACTGATGGGATACATCTGGTGTCTTCCTTGAGGGTGATGAGAGGATTGAAGGGCAAATAGGCACCAACACCACAGATGAGGACACGCAGATACTTTTAGTGTTTGTGCCACTGGAAAAAGGAAGGTTTTCTGGAAGGAACTGGAACCTGTGATTTATGCCAATAAAACATCATTTTAGATTCCTTGAAGTCCATTGTTAAATTCTCTTTTCATAAATATTTAAGTTCTTGCCCAACTTGTTGTTGCTGATTCCTTAAAAAATGCAAAGGAGAGAGATTGCTTCTGATTCCTTTGTGACTCTGATATATTAATGTTGCTTTCACAGGCAAGATACCTGATGATCTCTTACAAAATGCACAAGAGGTGCTGAGGAGGGGCTATGTTTTTATAAGCAAATGCAGCATGTAGTGAATTCATGCTCTGCCTACCTGCAGAAACCATGATTTCCACACACGTTTGCACACAGGAACTGTATGGCTGTGCACCACCCCACAACTGCCTGCTATTTCCCAACAATTGCAAGTACCTCTGCCTTGCCCTTGTTCCCTGGACAGATCTGAGGTCACACGGCTGGAATAATCCCCTTAGTTTATCTTTCTGGCTATATCATGCCCTGTTTGAAAATTCCTCCCACTTACTTCTCCTTACAATCAGATCACTGTAAACATCTCATTCTTCCTTCAAATGCCTATCAGAATTTTAGGCTCACTTATCCCTCTGTCTCAGTCTGCTGTCTTATTTGCCTTGCTATCTCTGCTCCTGTAGCATGCTAGTCTTGACATCCTCTTAAGTTCTTCCTCTCTGCTTTCTGTGCTTGTTCCCAATTGCTTTCTTGCAGAGGATGCTTTTTTGTATCTTTTCTCTTCCACTAATACCCTATTAAAAACCCGCTGTTACCTTGGTACCCAGGAGCGGTGTCTTTATAGATGATTAAAAGACACTTCAGTAACTGACTGAAACAGTTGCTGAATTTCCCAAGGTACCCTATCTTCCTCTCTGTCTCTTTGATTTGAGATCTGAGAAGTGAGAACTGCCTTTATTTGGGGATATTGCAGATATTAAACATATGATAAAATAGGAATAACAATTTCCCAGTTTGCATGTGCAAATGTAGATATTGGTACGATAAACCACATGTGACTTTTTGCAGGTGCTCCCTTTGCCAGGGTTCTGGGCTTCTTGCCAACGCATTTTCTCTCAACCTCACTGTTAACCAGTCCCTTGCATTTTGCATCAGCTTCTGTCTAAATAGGCTTAGCCCTCCAGTTAATAGATATCTTTTTCTCAAGCCCTGCCCATTGCACCTGCCTTTGAAAATGTGCCCTGGAGAACCCAGTGAGTCATCTGTTGTGTGCTGTTGCTGTTTGATTAAATCATTGCTTAGTTTCAGGTGGCTGCATTTGCGAGCTGGAGCACTTGATTCTCCTGTTTACTGCTTTTGTATATCACGGAAGTGTTTGTAAAGCTTGAGGGGAGGTTCAGAATGAAAGGTACAATATCAGTGTTTGGGATAACAAATGGTATAGGCCATACATGCTCTTCATTCAATGCTTTTTCTGTTTCCACACCAGTGAGCACGATGGATGTAATGTAGTCACAGCATGTTTCCAGAAATCCTGAGATCAGTAATGTAAAATAGGTCTTTGGAATTTTAATAATGGAGAAAATGTCAGCATGCAAAGTTGGTGCAGCCTTGTTCCTCCCTTTGCCCAGTTTTACTCCTTTAGACCAGTCTATGTATTTTCTGACCTTGCAGACATAACATAGGGCGGCGCTAGGGAACCCTCCAGAACCTTGCACTGATTCCCCTCCTGTTCCAATAGGATTCACCACCCTACAAAGTAAATGTATACAGGCGTACTTTTAGACCAGACCTTCAGGATCAGCTCCCATCTCCCTGGATGCATTTGGGAAGCTTGGGGACCTTCAACACTGAAATGACTTTTAACATCTACTAAGAGGGACTGTGGCACCCAGAGATCACCGGGTTCTTTCCAGACCGCTGTTTTTCCCCAGCTGCGTTCAGGGACGAGTTGTGTGTCACTGGCAATGCTTCAGTCAAAACAGTTTGAAGGCTGTTTTGTACTACCAGAGGTGAACAGCGAAGTGTTGAAGAGAGCATGATTCTGACCCACCCTCCTTGTAGAAATGACGTTACTTATTTAGGTCATTAAATAATGGTGGTATTTTCTCATAAAATGTATTTGTACACTGTCAAGTATATGTCTGGGGTTTCAGAGATCAGCTGCCCAGATCAGGTATCACAGATCACAGTTATAGGCTAATGCTGGGAATGGGAAATTATACAGAGGAAAGAGACAGTTAATTCTTCCATGTGGGCATGAATAACTGTCAATTGCAGTTGACAGTTCGGTAACTTTCTTGAGCGTTAAACTTAGACAACCCTTTTTTTTCGGTAGTCTCTTCATGTATCTTGATATGGAAAGCAGTTTGAGACATTCTTCTTAGGAAAGAAGTATGATCAGAAGCTCTTGTTGTGATTGCTGCAGTGGCATGGTTCACTCCCCGTTAGAGAACTGCTTATCTAGCTCAGGCTACAAGCCAATAATGAGTTATCAGCCTCTCTAAGTGAAATTAAACAAGCAGTTATTCAGAGCTATACTGAACCTATAGAATGAGAAATATTCTCAGTAACAAGTCATGATCAGATTGGGTTCAGTACCAAGAAAATCCTTACTCATTTGCCTATCAAGGGGTTTTGTTTGGGTTTTTTTCATTTGGTTACCAGAAGAAGTGAAGATTTTTCTCCCTCATTTTACATCAAAAATCTTCTTGATCAACAACAAAAAATCATAGTTTATGGGTTTTTTCATGCAAACACTTATATTGGCACAATCAGAGCACTCATCTTTTGCCATGGAGAGGGAAAAATAATATCAGCCAGAGCCCCCAAAGAAGTCTGCCTTATTAGTGATTGAAAGATTATTTATTTGCAGCTAAAGGTGCTGGAGTGATCCGTGTGTGAATTTCTGTCTCCTTCTAGGCTTTACAAAAATTCTTGTACTGAGGCAAACGAAGTTGCCAGACAAGTAGGGCCTCCCTTCAGTAATTATTTAGTCTTACTCTAAGAGAAGACAAAACGGATAACAAACATGAAGACACAACTTCCAATCCCATGAGCCTATTTTGCTGTCCTTATTCCTGTTTTTTAGATCACAGCAATTCTTTGTCTTTAACTCCAGAACAATGTTCAAAAAGCTTGATTTTGCTTTTTGAACAGTTTGTGGCTTTGTTGCTCTCCTGCCTATTTGAAGACAGTGGTGATGAATATGAAAAGCCATTTTCTTTACACCAGATACATATGCTTGATATACAAAACCATAAATCTTGCACTAAGTGCTGTTCTTTTTCTTCCTTGGATCTCATGTGTTACTTTACGGGTGACCTGTTTAGCGTTCTTTGTGACTATGGTTACACACAGAGAAGTAATATAATCACTAAACAGTCTATCTGTTTTAGTTGCAGAGCTAGAACCTAACTTTTTGGTTCTCAGCATAGACTCCCCACTTATATATAAGTGGGGCTTATGCCTTATATACAGCCCAAACTCCCTTCTGGGATGGCATCCCTTGATGCAAGTGATGGAGAGAAGGATTAGGAGATAGCAACAAACAGGAGATTTTGTTTAACTGATCATGTAAGCAAATAGATTTTGTCCGTTGATGACATATGCGAATAGCTAGTCTTCAAATGACATGTGCAACCGTGTTTAACCCCAGAACAGTTATGGATTCCTGAAAAGTTGTTCTTACTGACACTCCCTGGCCAAGTTAGGTTTTATGTTCTTCATAGGTAAAAAATGCTGCAGGTTCACCTTGTTTCTGTGTGGTTTTATGTGTCTCAACAGAACTCAAGCTTCCCTAAATGCACGTGTCTAAATGAAAAATGAATGTAGATAAGTGAAGTTGAAAGGCAGTAAAATAAGATACTGTCAGCTGAGGGCAAATGCAAAAGCAGCTGTATCTGCCCTCCTCAGCAGACTTCCTCAGAAATAAAGCAGGGTAAAGGATTCTACAGAATGAGCCATTCTCCATGCTCCAAACCTCTGAGTCAGAAATCCCCAAAATAACTTAAGGACAAATGGCACTCAACTTATTTTGGGGATTTCTGACTCAGAGGTTTACAAATGGCACTCTAACAGAAGGGTTTCTTGAGTTACGTAAAATGGGAAAGCATGATGATGAAACCAAAACAACAAATAAATACTATGTTTTGTATACCCTTTCATTGCCTTCCCAAAAAGAAAATATATCCCCCCAAAAGTTAGCTGAGTTTTATCAGCTTTGCAAAACGATGAATGAACGCCTTGTTCTTTACTATTGCTTAAGTCATTCCTGTTTATGCCAGTATTTCAAGGATTATGTTTTGATTGTTCTGAAGAGGTGAAAACACTTTCTTGCTGATGAATAAACACTGCCACTTTTAAATATTTGTATGCGAAATGTCTTTAAAGCCATTATGAAATGCTTTCCAAAAGCACTAAGAAGCTGCTTCCCGAAAAGACAGTTTTTCTCTACATTTTCTTTCATGCTAAACAGTCCAAATGAAAAGCCTTTCAGAGTTAACTAGTTTAAGCAATACCAGTGTTTTAGTGTAATGAATAACTTTTTATAGAGGACAATTGCACACAGTTCAATATGCTAGTATTTCTATTTCTGTGCCCCACCAATGCCGGGATTCTAGGGTAGAATTTCTTTCTTTGAGAAAGCTGAAGCGATCAAAATCCTGATTAACCTCTGATATTCACGTGGTGCTCTTGATCTTGAGGACCGAAGCAGTAACAAAGAGTTAATGGCAGCCATATGCTCAGGGTATTGTGGGTACTGTTGACCCAAATGTGAACTCCGCAAGCCAGGGCTGCTAACTGCTGTTTGTTTCAGGTTTGGCGTGGAGATTACTGATGAAGAGTTTGAGCTGCTACTTGACAGAATCCCCCTTGATGAAGATGGAAATGTCAGATACCCCCAGTTCACGGCCAGGTTTGATTCCTGGTATGCAGCGTATGCGTTTTATTTCTCATTTGTGAGTGGAATTATTTTTAATCTAAAAGGCTCACATAACATTTCCAGACTGATTCGCATTTCTTAAATGTGCTCCTTTAAGACGCATTTCTTGCATGGAGTATGCTGATTGATTACATTTAAAATCAGCTGATGTTATGGGTATATACTGTTTATAATTTAGTTGCTCTTTAGATGCTAATTACATATTTTACAAGAAAGACTTCAAAGGCATGTAACGTACCTTCGTGCTTTCTGTAGGCTGGGAAATATGACAGACTTCTAAATAAAAGCTAACTATTTCCAAAAAATGGTAATAAACGTACTTAGTATCTCTCTGAGCATTTACAGGCCCTTTGTGTAGTCTGAAGTACTTCTGAGATGATGATATCGGTTAATAGAAGCTCTACTCAGCCTCCAAGGCCTAGCTGTGAATTAGAGTTTGATTAAAATAAAGCAGCATTGGGCTAGATAGAGATACTTTATTATTTTCCAAAAATTAGGACTCCATCCCCAAAAACTGTCATGCCAGTAGCAGGGCAGAAGCCAGTGACATTGCTGAGGTGAGTGAAAGTCTCTTGTGGAATCTGGGACTGGAGAAAGCCATTCCACCCATGAAATCTGGAGAAGTAAATTTCAGCACTTTCACGCACACTTGCATGTACACATAAAAGCTAGACTGCTCAAACAGGAATGCAAATGTTTTTGAGTTATTTAGCAGGTAAGGGTATCTAGTTTGCATACACACATGAAGGGTAGGTAGAAGTCTGAGTTCGCTGTACTGAAACCACACGGGGTACCTTCCTGCACTTCAGGTAACAAACCAACTAAGTACTGCAAACCTGATGCGCCTGCTTCTTCCTTCCTATTCCATTGGTTGCTCTTCCACTCGTTCTTTTCCTCAGTCCTTGTCTTCCTGCTTCAGGAAGCTTTGGGGCTGAATTCAGCTGTCCACACGTTTGCACACAGGGCTGTCGGATACGACACAGGATTCATGAGATGTGTATGACCTTCTGGAATGGTATCCCCTAGGCAATCTCCAAGGGTGTCTCAAATGACCCTTGAATGCATTTGGGTGGGCTCCTGTTTCTCGCATACTTTTACTGCCAAGGCCTCCTCTCCAGTTCTTTCTTTTATAGCCCTCTGACTGGGTTGCAGCTATCCCAGATTCAGTTGTGCATGAATTTCTGTGAAGTGTCTAAATTCCAGAAATATTCCCTGGTTTTCCTGTGGTAAGGGTGTAAAGAGGAGGCAGAGGATAAAGACCGTCCAGCAAAGCTGACCAACCTTTGAGAAACCAAAAGCATCAAAAATAAAATATACCGAGATGCACAACACTGGGCCCTACCTCCTTCCTCTTGCTGTGCACTCAGCTGCAGTAACCCTCCTCTGTGCTTCCTGCCTTTCTTACACACACATTGCTTCAGCTCCCATGTCCAGGTAAATTCTGAAATTAAGAGAAGCTGATGTCCCTAAAAAAGGCAAGATGATGCTTCTCAGCAGTGTCTTATCTTTGTGCATCAATTCATGGATTAAGATGGATCTGGACACCACATTTATTTCTGTTTCTAGTAATTATTTTCTTGTGTTTGCTTATGGTTAAAGTGACACATTTTCACCACAAAGGAGCTGCATTTAGCCCAGAGTATACCACTGGCTGTGACCTTGTCTTGAAGTGTGTCCCTAAGAGTATGCACAGCTACTCATAGCCCTTTAGGAGAGTTATCACTGAGCCCTTATTTCAATAGTAAAAAACTGTGCTGTGTAATATTCTTGAGGATGCCAGCAAGACAGCAGTTTACATGCAGGCTTGCATCTGACAGTCTTATGGACCGGGAGCAAAACTGAACACCATGATTTGCAGGGACATGTGGGAAGCCTAATTTGTACTAACCTAGCTCGGCCACCTTCAGGCCCTTTGCAATCCAAGGTGAGCTGGGAACACACTGGGAAATAAAAGCTTACCTCTAAGGCCGACATCTACCAGGGAACCAGAGACAACATCCAGGACTTTGCTGCTGAGTTTCAAAAGTCATTTGAAACCCTTGGTCCAGCTACATTAAGCAGTAAAGGAAGGAATCTACAATAATTGGCAAGTTAAAACTGCCTGCTATAAACGGGAGTGCACTGGGAAGCAAGCCTGGATGCATAGCAGACAAATGCCACAGGAAGTGCAAAAAAAGCCAATTGGGTAATGAAGGCTCTTTTCCCCAGGTCAGCCAGGGACATATGGACATGCCCGGCCTTGTATCTTCCCACAAATAATAATGGGACCCTAGAAGCTGAACTACCATCTCTTGCCAGTAAGATACTAAGAGATCTCCTCTTCTCAGAACCTCTGGAATCTGAATGGTCGACTGCACAAGTGGAGTTTTATGTGGGCCAAGTCTTGCGTGACTCCTGTACTTGTTTGGCTATCAAATGCCACCAAGAATAGGCTTAGGTTAGATACATGGGCACCAGTAACACCTGGGCTTCTTTGCCAGGGAACCCTCAGACATACCAACATCGTCAGAACCAAAGGTAAACCATAGATATGAAAAAGAGGATGAATATTATAAGAAGTGGTCTGTCTTAATTGCAGGAGAAAGAGCTGTTATATTAGAAACTCAGAATAAGGGAGAGGGGATTTTAGGGACTAAAGTTACAGCCTGGCTTTTGTCCCAGTAGACAGAATAGAACCTGATCATTCACTGATGAAATGCTTTCTCTGCAGTCTTTTTTTTTTAACTGATCAGTCCCATTTCCAAGTCAACCTTCAGAATTCACTAAATGTAGCAATTTCAAAGATTACTGTCATGCCTACACCTGTTGTTTAGAAATAATTAGTGCTTATACAGAAATCATTATACCTTCCGTGGCACAATTCTGATTTGAACATGATCCAAACCAATAATTAGCTATGCTCACTGGGACTATTGTTGCTCAAGTCGAGTGGGAGAGAGTGCATGGGCCCCATAGCATAGCTTAGGTAATAGCTCTTTACTTGCTTTATGGTGAGAATCGGAGGCCAGATGCTTCTCCCAGATTACTTCAGTGTTAACATGGGGTAATTTCATTTACTCCAGTGCAAAACTGGAGTGTAACTGAGAACGCAATGTAGGACTGAGATATCATAACTTTCACTTTCATCACTTGCCCCCCAGTGTCTTTCCTCCTATAAAACCAAATATTGCTTGCAGGCATTGTCCCAGATTCTCAGCTGTATGTGGTGGGTTGGCCCCAGCCAGCAGCTCAAATCCCACCCAGCTGCTCGCTGCCTCAGTGGCATGCAGGGAGAAAGTAGGAGGAATAGGAAAGAGAAAGCTCGTGAGTTGAGCTAAAGACAGGGAGATCACTTACCAATTTCCATTGCGGGCAAAGCAGACTTGACTTGGGGAAAATTAATTTAATTTATTGCCAATTTAGATATATATATTTAATTACTAATTTAGGAAGAAAAAAGACAAACATTAAGACACATAGGGAAAAGAGTTTTCTCCCCGCCTTTCCCAGGACCAACTTCACTCCAGACTCTTCTCCTTGTTACCACCAGTGGTTACACTCAGTCCCTTCAGCGAGGAAGCCAGCGGAGCGATGCAGAGTGGGGAGGGGGTATGGTCAGGATGTAGTGGTTTCTCTCTGCTGTTCCTTCCATCTTGCTCCTTTCCTCTGCTCTGTCATGGGCCTTCTATGGGCTGCTGTCCCTTCCAGGGTGGAGGGGGGCCTGTTCTGGAAGGCAGGAGGGATGCAATGTGTCTGCAGTAGCTCAGTTGATTTGTATCTCCTGTAGCTCCGAGATGGTGCGAATGCCTTCTTCCTACCTTATGCAGCTGCTGCTTAATGGGCTTAGAGGACCTGACCAGAGACAGCCGCCGTGCACTGCCGCAGAGAGCTATTCTTGTGAGTGTGCCTGCCTACACATGGAGAGAGGGCTCCTTCTCAATAGACCTTTGGCATCTAGTTTGCCAGGGGAGAAATTAAGAAACCACCATTAGGATAAGTTAAGGCCACATCTATATTGCACAGTTTGCATGAGTTTTGGCATGCCCTGGAGTCACAGCTCCAGCTTTGCCTTATCAAGGATGAGTCTGGAATATGTTGTGGTTCGTTTCTGGTCTTCCCACTGACAGCACAGCGTGTGGGAAGGAGATGCATCGATAGACCTTATGTCCCTTGAATGGACGTACGATGTAACCTCAGTACACAGCCAGGCTGGGAGTCTGGAGCTGCTCCTGGGTGTCTCAGTTTAGACAAAGTTTCAGAGTGTTTCTTGCTTCCATGGACCATTCTTGCCCATTTTCTCTTAGGAAAGGAAGAAGCTTGCTTCTTCATTTTTTTCATACCCGTTCATCTTTAAATAACTTCTATAAAACAGGAAATTAGAAGAAGCATTTAGGAAAATCTAAGATATCTCATTAAAATGGCAATGAAGATGTTTCATGTACTGAAATAGCATTTTAATTGGGAATTCAGTTTACTATAAATTAAATGTATTGCTTATCTTCAAATAAGGTGTTACTTTGGTTGGAAAAGAGCATTCTAGAAGATCTAAGTCTGGCTGAAAAATGGCTCTCCATTGGCTTGTGATGGTTTCCCTTTTCACACAGTCATCTGTCTCCCTCGTCCCTTCCTCGTTATCCAGCCAGGTAGGCCTGAGACAGACCGTAAAAGTACAGGATGAGCCCCAAGAGGCTCAGCATCTGAACAGCATGTTCGTTCCCAGTCTCATAGATATTAAGAAGAGGATAACTTAAAGAATTGCATTGACTGGAAGCAGAAGATAGTTTGTGAGCCTGAGGGAATATAATCAGTAAGGATGCCATGGAAACTTTTGTTCACAATCATAGATAAACTGTACAGAAGCTTCGTGTAGCAAGAACAGTAAAATCTAACTTCTTTTTCGATAATGGCATTTCATACTAGCAAGGATGGTAAGTGGATTAATAAAGACGGAAGTTATTAAGAATCTGCTGTAGGTATATTAGCCATAAGTCAGACAAGATTTCTAAGAAAAGGTAGTATTTTGTATATTACTTTTGAAACACTAGAACAGGCTTATGTGCTCAAAGCTGGTCTGTTATCTCCAACTGTATCAGCTGACCTAATGAAAGATATCCATAGACCATGTCACTGGTACCCTAATGCTGTAGTATGTGTGCATCTGATATTAATCATGGACACTTTAGACTTTAATTAGCCATGTTATAGTGGCATTTACTGCTCATAGACTCCGAGAGGAGGCAGCTACCCCAGAAAGCAAATACATCAGTAGCTTGGCTCCTACTGCCCAGTCTGCAGATCGCCGACTATAGCGGTAGCAGGCTGT